GTTGCCATGGGAAAGACGCTGCAGCCACGGCGTTTACGACACTTCGTAAAGCACGGAAAGCAGGTGGCGAAGTCAAGATCACGTGAAGTACAACTGGAAATAAACAAATGGTGTTGTTTATTGTCCTGAGTGTCAGGAACAAAAAAATAGAATATGGAGGACTAGCTGTGGTTACGGGAAATATTAATCATGCTCTGTTGCCATGATTGCCTTGTGCTGGTTAAAGAAAGGGCATTCTAACCTGGCTGGGGGTTGTACGCTCCTGGGACCAGGGAGTCCCCTTGAACCTAGGAGTCACCCTTGTACCTGGGAGTCAACCTTGGAATGTGGTCCATTCTCATTCAAGAACCGCCTATTATCATGGGAAGGTGAACAAACTGTTGCCCAAACAGCGGAGTCCCACCCCAGCCCGCATTGCCTACCTCTCCATGCCTGTAATCCCTACTCCCCCATGTAATCTTGAGAAGGCTAAAAGGCTGGTTCCAATGTAACCCTGATATTTGGGGGGGGGGGGGGGGGGGGCGGGGAGCTAGCAATCTGAATCCGTGCCAGCAAGCCCTGTGTACATTCTTGATAACCTATAATTAAGTCATTGCCCCTTTCTCCACAAACTGGTCTTGCAAGACCTATTACCTAAATGCTCACCTTTCACAGAGACCATAAACCATGACACAGCCCCAGAGGGGGGTTATCAGGGCCTGGCACCAGGCCAGGCCCTTAGGAATGGTCTCAAGACCCCCAACACCTGGGGCTTTTTGCAAAGCCCGTGAAAGGTCCGGAAGTCCCATTCCATATTTGGGGGTCAAAGACACCAAAAGGGGATAAAAGTGGGGTTTCCACCATATTGGTTGGCTCAGAATTTGAGAGGCAACCTCCTCTGAGTCTGCCGGTGTAATAAATCTATGTAACTCCATTTCTCTAAGCATTGCTTGGTTTTTCTCCGGTCTTCTATAACAATCTTTGTCCTATCCTATACATGCAGCTGGCTTACAGGGGACTGCAGGACAGATTTCTGTGGATGACCTGCTGCTTTCCCATGCTGCTGGCGTTATTGGAATAAATGCTCAGATATGATTCAACCCTGTCTCTGCTGAATTGGCTCAAGTATCGACAGGCAGCCTGGACCCACTGTGTGTATGTAAACACAGAACAAGTCCTGGGCGCACACACCAAGCCCACAGCTGTGGTGACACTGTGGATGCAGGAACTTATCTCATGTTTCCTCCATTTTTTGTTCAAAAGGAGAATGTATTTTCAATAGTTCTTTTTGTACTTGAAAGTAATAGTTATAAAGAAAGGATTTACTGGACTGGGTGAAAAAAAGTGAAAGGGTTAAGAAGTACAAAATGATAGTTACAAAATAGTCATGGGGATTAAACAGAATAGGGAATATAGTCAATAATATGGTAATAATTATGTATGGTGCCAGTTTGATACTGGAAATATCAGGGGGATTGTCTAACTACTTTGCTGTATGTCTGAAACTAACACAAACTAATAATAAATGTAATCTGGAATTGAAAAATGAAAACAAAATTTAAAGATAGGATTTATTAATAAAAGGCATTACTACTAAAAGCCCCTGTCCCAATTTATCTTGGCGTTGTTTGCCTGAACTGCCCTAACCTTTCGGAGCGTCATCTGTTTCCTGCTCTTAAGTCCTCAGTTACGAGTATATGTGTGTGTGTGTGTGTGAGTGTGACCACACACACTTCAGGGGCTGGTTGTCAAGCTCAAGGGGCTGAGGATTGATTGCAAAAATCATCTCAACCTCATCACCACCCCCACTTTCTCTTAACCTCCTAAAGACACCCCTATTTTATACTATAGTCCTGCTTAACTATGGGGCTTAATGCAGCTATAGAGGAGTTATTTCTTTCTGTCCCAACCCACCATCAAAGGTGGCTGCCTCATTATAGCCAGCCTCTAGAGTGGATAAAGTGCCTGCATCAGAACAAGACTCGCCCCCCTCCCCCTTACCTTCCTATCAGAATCCTAGGGATGGGATCCATAATCTAATTTTATGAAGTTCTCTAGGTCATTCTGTGCACATGAAATTCCATCTTTCTCCCTCCCTCCTGGCACTTGATTTTTCTTCTGCACACCCTGCTAATTCTCAAGGTTCTTGTTTGCTGAAAAACTTTATTTTAGACATCATACTGAGTGTCTTCTACCATATAACGCACTAGGGATACAGAGAATCGTGGAATCAATTATTCAACAAGTGAATAACCAGATAGTCTCTGTTAAAACACCTTCTTTCTAGCCGAAACCAATTTAGCTCAGTGGATAGAGCGTCGGCCTGCGGACTCAAGGGTCCCAGGTTCGATTCCGGTCAAGGGCATGTACCTGGGTTGCAGGCACATCCCCAGTGGGGGATGTGCAGGAGGCAGTGGATCGATGTTTCTCTCTCATCGATGTTTCTAGCTCTCTATCTCTCTCCCTTCCTCTCTGTAAAAAATCAATAAAATATATTAAAAAATAAATAAATAAATAAATAAATAAATAAAACACCTTCTAGAACAGTGGTTCTCAACCTTCCTAATGCCACGACCCTTTAATACAGTTCCTCATGTTGTGGGGACCCCCAACCATAAAATTATTTGCATTGCTACTTCATCACTGTCATGTTGCTACTGTTATGAATCGTCGTGTAAATATCTGATATGCAGGATGTATTTTCATTGTTACAAATTGAACATCATGAAAGCATAGTGATGAATCACAAAAACAATATGTAATTATAGATGAGTTTTCCGATGGTCTTAGGCGACCCCTGTGAAAGGGTCATTTGACCCCCAGGTTGAGAACTGCTGTTCTAGAAGGTACTAAGGAACTTAATGCTATCCAAGACAAGACCCACTGTTTCTAAATACCTATTATTATGCACCTAGGAATGCGTTTCCGTACCTCTGTCCACTTTCCTCTCAGGCTCTCCAGAACAGTCTGGGACCCCCCCCCCCCCAACACTCTCATATGTCAAAGGCTGTCCTGTCTCCCATGCTCTCGCTCCCTAGGTCAGATGTCTCCAGTCCATTCACCAATCCTTCAAATGATAGTTGTAATCTATTCCAGCTGCCCTTTTCCAGCAGATACACTCCTGCTAGTCAATGTGCCTTTTAAAATGTGATACTCAGAGCTAAGCAAAATGTTCCGGGTGTGGTGTGATGAGGGCTGAGTGCTGGCAGAAGCACGCTCTTAATGTTCCCCATTACAGGGCCATTAATGCACCACAGTAGCTCTTCACAGCGACAGTAAAGTGTCGACTCACGTCAAGATTGTAAACAACAAGTCCCCAGAGTTCCCCATTCTCCAGTTTTCTAGTGGAAGACATTGCATGCATTCATTCACCCTTGTCTTGATCCGTACAGGATTTAATCGAACTAATTTTCTCATTGTAAATATCATTGCTAAATTTTAACTTTTGAGATCATTTCTTTCCATCTCTATCACTCAGTGCATCCAAGTCATCTATCCTTGTTGATTTTTGAGAGAATGGAATCAAGGAAATGGATGTCATCAATAAAAAATGACTTGTGAAAAGCCTGCCAAAAAAACAAAAAGATTAGTTCCGAGCTGTGGTACACAAATAGAAACCTGCTTTCAGGAAAGCAAGATAGAGCCGTAAGAGTCCCAGTGATAGTGATCTTGTTGGATGCTTTTATTAGTCCCAAGAGTTCTAGTTAGGTTGGATTTTCTGGATAGATCATTGTTTTCCTTCTATCCAATACATTTTAAAAAATATATTTTTAGCCCTAGCTGGGTTGGCTCAGTGTTTGGTAAAGCATTGGTCTGTGGACTGAAGGGTCCTGGGTTCGATTCTGGTCAAGGGCATATATGCCTGGTTGTGGGCTCGATCCCCACTAGGGGGCATGCAGGAGGCAGCCAATCAATGATTCTCTCATCATTGATGTTTCTATCTCCCTCTCCCTTCCTCTCTGAATCAATAAAAATAATATTTCAATATATATATTTATTGATTTCAGAGAGGGAGAGCGAGAGATGGAAACATCAATGATGAGAGTGAATCATTGATCAGCTGCCTCCTGCATACCTCCTACTGGGGACCAAGTCCAAAACCCGGGCATGGTTCATAGGTGCTCAACCACTGACCCACACTGGCTGGGCTCTATCCCATATTTATCTTTTTTAAAAATATATTTTATTGATTTTTTACAGAGAGGGGAGAGAGTTAGAAACATCGATGAGAGAGAAACACCCATCAGCTGCCTCCTGCACACCCCCCACTGGGGATGTGCCCGCAACCAAGGCACATGCCCCTGACTGGAACCGAACCCGGGACCCCTGAGTCCACAGGCCAACGCTCCATCCGTTGAGCCAAACCGGTTAGGGCTTTATATCTCTTATATGTCATCTTTTTTCTTGTCTAGGGATTCAGTATAATGTTGAATAAGAGGAATGATAATGTTGAACAAGAACATTTTTGTCTAATTCCTGATTTTAGTGGGAATATTGATATTTAAGGGAAGGAAGATAAAGAAAAACTGAGAAAGGAAACTGAGAAGGAATTGGTAGAAAAGGGAGGAAAAATATCAGGATGAAGAGAAGAAAATTGCAGGAGGGAGTAGCCAAAGATGTCAAAGCCAAGTCCTCTTCAGGCTCGATTACAGATGCTCTCCGTAAAATGATACTGTCTTATGGAGGGAGTTCTGAACTTCAATGCCGAGTTAATCCCTGGAGTAATCTTCTTAAACTGTTCAGAATCAAAATTGCTGGATGGAGCCTGTGACCACTTTTGCAAAGCTTCCTAGGTTGATTCTGAGATGCAGTTGGGGTTGGGAGTGATTAATTTCAGCCACTTGCTTCATCTAATAACAGAACAATTTATTTAAAAGCAGTTAGATGGGCACTAGGCTTACAGGGTTGACCATTTTCTAAGTTTTATAAATGTCTAATCACTATGTTGTACACCTGAAACTAATATAAAATTGTATGTCAATTGTAATTTAAATAAAAAAATAAAAGCACGGGACAGAGACCAGCTAGAATGAAATAATTTATTATAAAGAAGCCATTTTTCCATAAATCTGTTTCATCAACATACATAACAACATTTCAGTATGTTCATAACTGGAAATTTTTAAAAATTACTGTGAAAACAAGAATGAGATTCAGGTAACAACCTGTGCTTCTGTGGCCTAAAAAATCTGGCTTATACAATAGGAATGTTGATTAAACAACTGACAAGGATAGTCAATTGGAACTAAACTTTTCTTTTACTTCTCCCAATAAAAGGAGGAACAGAAATGTGACAGACAGACTTTACAGATTCTCCAGATTTTAAAATTGGTCTGGTGGATGAATTAATCACCAAGTTCTTAAAATCTATTTTCTACTCCTAAGTACCTAAAAACAGATCACTGATCAATGCAGAATAAAGTCAAGGGGTCGCTCTGATTACACCCCATTAGTCTTAAACTGTATGATTTTGAGAAGCAAGTCCTCCTCCTAGCTAAGTAAATGAAATGTTCCCTTAAAGAATGAGTGCATGTTTTTAGGTTCTCTGTGGTTTATTGATAATATTGCAGCACAGCAGACAGACTCCAACGGCTCCACGTGGTGTCTTGAAATTCATCCCAACGGGAGGCTGAGTGACGTGCAGGCTGGACAGACTGCCCGAGTCCGCGAACGTCAGCATTTTCTCAGTGTCAGGATCAACTTCAAGGACATCCTCATCCAAGGCTGAGACTTCGGGAACGTGGTCCTCTCTCCTCCCTCTCCTCCTGCAGCTGTCCCCCTAGCTAAGGCCACCTGACTGGCTTAGGGGACGAGTGCTTTTTTAACAGATTCGGGAACGCGGCTGGCGTAGTAGTCATGGTTCCTCAGCGAGGCCAGGACCCCAGCGGAGTTCATGTGCTTCACTTCCTTGTCGTACTGAAGGGCATTGCCATGGACGTCGGTTAACTTGCCTACAGAAAAAACACAGCACGTTAATGGCTGATTCTACCATAATAGTTCATTATTTGTAAGCGCCTCTTGCTTCCCTGGGCAATAATATTCAATTATCTCTGCAGAAGGAAAATAGTGGTTAAGTGTTAATAATTCACTTGACACTTAAGACTACAGAACAATTTTAACTAACTGAAGGATAAAACATTTTTTCTTCTGATTAAAATCATTTCACTTAGCATTTTCTTTTAAAATATATATATATTTTATTGGTTTTTTTACAGAGAGGAAGGGAGAGGGATAGAGAGTTAGAAACATCGATGAGAGAGAAACATCGATCAGCTGCCTCCTGCACACCCCCTACTGGGGATGTGCCCGCAACCAAGGTACATGCTCTTGACCAGAATCGAACCTGGGACCCTTCAGTCTGCAGGCCAATGCTCTATCCACTGAGCCAAACCGGTTACGGCTCACTTAGCATTTTCAATTTTTATTTCTCAGCGTCAATGCCTTTCTCTTTTCCTGAGTTGATCGCTTTTCCTATTGGTTATACTTCATCATCACTATTCCCATTTTTAAAACTACTTTCTTTATTCTACCATTTAATATTAACACTTTATTTGGTAAGAGTTTAAATGAAGTACATTCAGAAGATATAACTATGATATTAGTTTCATTTAATAATTCTAATGAAAATGGATTGTGATGAATTTAACTTCCTTGTCATGTAATGTTAATGAGATACTGATAAAATAATGTACTTGGAAAAAGGAAAAGATAAAAAAAAATAAAAATAGCCCTAGCCGGTTTGGCTCAGTGGATAGAGCGTCGGCCAGCAGACTGAAGGTTCCCAGGTTCGATTCCGGTCAAGGGTACATGCCTGGGTTGCAGGCTCGATCTTCAGTGGGGGTGTGCAGGAGGCAGCCAATCAGTGATTCTCTCTCATTATTGATGTTTCTAACTCTCTCTCCCTCTTCCTTCCTCTCTGAAGTCAATAAAAATATATTTAAAAAAAAAATAAATAAAGAAAAGGGTTGACTTGATGTCTATTTGAAATTTTAAAATCACCTATGTACATATTTATAATATATTTTTAGTCAGATTTTTAAAATTCTAACTCTATGACCTTTAGCACTAATACAGAGATATTTACCAACATTGGCTTAAAATAAATTAGGTGGCTTTTTCAAGAAAAAAACAACAACCCTAGCCCTTGCTGATTTGTCTCAGTGGATAGAGCGTCAGCCTATGGACTGAAGGGTCTCAGATTCGATTCCCATCAAGGGCGCATGCCCTGGTTGTGGGCTCAATCCTCCGCAGAGGGTGTGCAGGAGGCAGCCAATCAAAGATTCTCTTCTCATCACTGATGTCTCTATGTCTCTCTCTCACTCTCCCTTCCTCTCAGAAATCAGTAAAAATATATTTTTAAAAAGCCCTAAAGGCATTAAAGCCATAAATTAATAAGGCTTTAATTAAGTTAACTACATGCAGATCAAGGTCCAAAAAAAGAAACTATATGTAAAGAAAAATGAACTGGCTGAAAATCTACTTTCTCGCCTATGAAATGTGGGGGTTGGAACAGATAATCGCTAACTTTCCTCCCAGCTCTTATATCCTGAGAGTCTAGGTAAAGTGGCGTTACTGCAAAAACTATAATCCCCGCTAATAAAACGGACTCACCTCCCACAGCGTGTAGAATGACTTCCGGAGCACAAGTGTCCCACTTCTTACAGCCAGGACTCGCAAACACGTAAGCGGAGGCTTTGCCTTCAATCAGCTGAATGATCTGTAAAGTGAACGATGATAATTATCCCTCGACCATGACATGAATGAGGTACAGATAAGAGAGGATTGCTTGTTTCTATGAAATATATTTTAACTCCTCTGTTAGGATCCACTTAGGTGAAAGCCTTTAGCAGGTTTAAATGACAAGACTATGATGAAGAAACATACAGAAAACATGCATCATAATATCCAAGGGGGAAAAAGTTGCCAATAGGCTACAAGAAGGGTGAATGAACAGTCTCCATATTCCAAGTTAGAGAAAATAGTTTTCTTTTTTATGTTTGTTTTTCTTTCTTACTGACTGTAAAAGCAATATATATGTGTGTGTGTGTGTGTATGTATATATATAGTTCCAAAAATGTACACACGCACTTTGAATAATTATAAAGGCAGTGTTTATTAAAATACATTTCATTTTCAAAATTGAAGTATCAGCTGTTAGAGTATGTATACATTTTGGGGGGGCACCCTGTATTTACTGTAGAAAAATTAAGTTATTTAATGTTATAAACAATTGACCATTATTATACAAGGGATAGAGAAGCATCAACTAGTACAATAATGTGTCAATTGTAATAGCTCCTGAGAGATGTGTGATGCTGACTAGTCAATCTAACAAGTAGTTAGTTACTTGTCTTTGGGGTCATATCCATTATTAGTTGCACTGCCAAAATATGAATTTTTAAGCAGTCATCTTACTGATTCTTGTAATACTTTCATAAAACTGAGGCCACTGATAGAACTTGCATGACACAAAACTCTGGAAGCTTCTGTAAAGTGTGGTGAGGGATGATGATAGGTTTCAACTGGGGCACTGACAGTTGAGATGGACAAGAGACATTAGGGAAGAATTAAGATCTCTAGCTGGGTCTGGCTGGCCTGGCTCAGGGGTTGAGTGTAGACCTATGATCCAGGAGGTCATGGTTCGATTCCTGGTCATCCCACTAGGGGGCCTGCAGGAGGCAGCCAATCAATGATTTTCTCTCATCATTCATGTTTCTATCTCTCTCTCCCTTCCTCTCAAAATCAATAATATATATATATATATATATATTACCTATAGCTAGGACTAATTGATAGGACCTGAGTAAAGGAGTCTAGGACGACTTTTACATATCCAGCTGGAACAATTGGGAAAATGCTGGTACATTAACCAGAAAGGAACAGGGAGAGGAACACATCTGGGGCAGGCAGAGAGAAGGTGAGTTCCAATCGGGCATGCTGAATGAGAGCCTGAAGAATGTCATCATCATGGTATCCGGAGGGGAATTAGATGAGAAGAGACGCAGATCCCACTGTTCCATTTCACAATTTCCTCAGGAGATGGGAGCCTGGAGGAGATCGTGGGGAAGTATCCAGGGAGAGGGGGCGGGGCGGGCTAGGAGGAGTGGGCTAGGAAATAATCCCAGAGGGTCCCTGAGAAAAAAAGGGTTGGCAAGAGGCACGGGATCTTATCCTAACGACATTTTATATAAGTTTTTTTTTTTTAGTTAAGCCTCACCTGAGGATATTTTTTTCCATTGCTTTTCAAAGAGAGTGGAAGGGAGGGAAAGAGGGAGGAACATCTAGGTGAGAGAGACACATTGATTGGTTGCCTCCCACACATGCCTCAAGGGGGTGGGGGGAAGCAACCCCCCTCTGGTGGTCGGCCTATGCTCTAACCACTGAGCACACCAGCCAGTTGACATATTTTCTCTGAACTGTCTTCACAAGAGATTTGAACCTTCACATTTAAAAAAAAAAATTCAAAAATGTTGCTGAAATGTGCTTTGAATGGCAAATTACAATCTTTAATCTCTCCTCCCAAACTCCTCTTTGACATTTAGTTAAAAGCTCAGGTGTTCCCTTCAGTGAGTCAACTGCATTCCGAGTGGGTGGCAGACTGTTTCGTACCTTATTTCCCGCCCCGCCCACTCGCAGCACGTCGTCGGGGTTCATGGCGGTGACGCAGTCGGTGACCAGCTTGTTGCTGTGGGACCGGGTGGTGGTGATGATGTGCTTCCCAGCAGGCACTTCTTTCAGCTGGAACCCGAAGGCACCCAAGCCTAGAACTCCCCAGATTGTCCTTCCCAGAGCAGCACCCGGCCCTGCCTGTGGAAACAGGAAACACCAACACAGCCTGTGATTAGTGGGAGAACATGTCAGCTCAGAACAAATAGAACACTGAGCTGTCACAGCATCCTAACTGTTAGATCATAAAAACATGATCATGCTATAGAGTACAAAGACAGTAACATCGACAGGGACATTTTCCCTATGGAATCAGCGGGTCGTTCTCACTGCTGTTTTGGTTGATAATTGGGTTTCAAAGGTACTGAAGGGAACTTCTGGTTATTCCCCGGAGTCCTCGGGAGAGGAGACAGGCTAATTCCTGCTGCTCTCTGAATCATCGAATAAGCTCATTATCGTATTTGAAATAGCTCTTTGCAAAGGGCACTGAAGTCCCCAGGAAATGAAACGCCATGTACTGATTAGTACTTTTCAATACTCGAGAAGCAGGCAGGATCCTGTCGACATGGGCCTAGGCCAGGGGTGGGCAAACTTTTTGACTCGAAGGCCACAATGGGTTCTTAAACTGGACCGGAGGGCCGGAACAAAAGCATGGATGGAGTGTTTGTGTGAACTAATATAAATTCAAAGTAAACATCATTACATAAAAGGGTACGGTCTTTTTTTTTTTTTAGTTTTATTCATTTCAAACGGGCCGGATCCGGTCCGCTGGCCGTAGTTTGCCCACGGCTGGCCTAGGCGGTGGTGATAATGCATTTTGCTGCTATAGAGACAGAACAGCTGAACAGGCTAATACCGAAGAGCAGCCTGGATAATGGAGGTCAAGGTCACAGACTTCACTGGCAATGGTGGTAGTAAAATGACAATGCCGACGCAGCCTTAGAATCTGTATTTGCCTTTGCAGAGCTGGGAGCATTTTCCACCACATTGTTTATGACCACGCACTTCATGTAGAAAAACATAACCGGTATTGCATGTCAAGTAAAACTGATGCATAAAATGATTAATGCAAAGTCATCAAAAAGACCATTATTTAACACTAGAGGCCCGATGCACGAAATTCATGCAAGTTCGTCTGGAAGGTCGTTTGGCTGTCCGGTCTAATTAGCATATTAATGCTTTTATTATTATAGATAATAGACATACTAGTATATGGTAGGCATACAGACATAAGTATGTTACTGAATACTTCACACGTACTAAGTGCTTTACATGTAGTATCTCATTTAATCTCCCAAACTACCCCATGAAGTAGGTGTTATCATCCTTACTTTATAGATGAGAAAAAAAGAGATTGGAACCATTAAATAAGCTGACCAAGGACTCTAGGAAAATCATAACCAAACTGAGGCTCTTCTGGGTTCAAAGCCAACAGTCCTGAGCATTAGTCTGAGCTGCCTCAGTTTACTTGCAAAAAGCTTTCAAACACAGCACCCTGCGTGTCCTGCAGCAGGACCCTGAGGTGGTGGGATGGTGGTGGAGGAGTGCCCCTGGGGCCAGCACCCATGGGAGGGAGGGAAGGCAGCATGAGTGGACAGAGGGGGAAGCTGAGTTGTGATGCAGACCCGACAGCCTCTGCCGGCTCTATGGGAGCTCTGGAGCTAGACTGGCCCTTCAGGGTTGTACCAACTGGGGTGCAACGCCAGGCCTTTGTCCTGCACTCATCAGTCACTGGAAGTGCACCGTCTTGGGAAGGAGCGGGCCACTGGGCGAGGCAGCTCTTTGCAGGTGAGCGATCCCCGAGGACGCCGACAGTATCACGCCCTGCAAATGGAGCACCGAAGGCACCGCAGGGCCAGCACTGGGGACTCTCAGCCCCTGGAGCATGCACTACCGAGAGGCTGGGGCCTGACCCGCCGATGGGCTCAGTGGTGGCTCTGAGGGCTCAGTGGGCCTCAGATTGACTGCTGAGAGGACTTATCAAGAAGCCGACTTACTTAGCTTTCGTTATTCTGAAGCAGAAAGGAAAGCAATACAAATAGTGGACAGGAGCCTGGCCAGTGTGGCTCCGTGGTTGATGTCACGGTTCGCTTCCTGGCCAGGGCACATGTCCGGATTGCGGGCTCGATCCCCAGTAGGGGGTGTGCAGGAGGCAGCCAATCAATGATTCTCTCCCAGCAATGATGTTTCTCTCTCTCTCTCCCTCTTCCTTCTTCTCTGAAATCAATAAAAATATATTTAAAACACAAATAATGGGCACGAGTATTCTGGGCCTGAAAATGAATATTCTGGGCCACATAAATGAATATGGAGGCAAAGAGTACGGGACCATGGAATCCAGCATCTGGTGGGCAGGGCCATGCAGGCCCATGAGGCGGCCAGCCAGCTTCCTTTGTGCTCCTGATCGCCCTCTCCTCACTGTCTCTCTCCCTCAAAGGCTCCCCACCAACTCTCTGGGGGCAATGAGGCTACTCGTTTCACCTTACCGATGAGCTAAATTAAATCTCAGAATGGCTAAGAAGCTAGCGCCCATATAAAGATACACTGGGTTTCTTTGCACTAAGCCAAGTGTTTCCTTCAACTGCCTACCAGCTTCGGTATCTGTTAGAAGCAATAACAGAGTTTTAACTGATAAAGGTCTTTCATCCGGCTCAAAAGAGCAATGTAGAGGAATCGGTAAGAGGTTGGACTGGGGTTTGAATCCCAGACGTGCCATTGACAAACTGGGTGACCCAGGGAAGCTACTTGCTTTGGTTTCTCTATCTTTAAAACAGGGACAAGGGCCCTAGCCAGTCTGGCTCAGTGGAAAGAGCATCAGCCAGAGGACTGAAGGGTCCCGCGTTCGATTCCAGTCAAGGGCATATGCCCAGGGTGCGAGCTCGATCCCTAGTAGGGGGTGTGTAGGAGGCAGCTGGTTGGTGGTTCTCTCTCATCACTGAGGTTTCTATCTCTCTCTCCCTCTCCCTTCCTCTCTGAAAGCAATAAAAATATTTAAAAAATAAAACAGGGACAAGGTGAAAGGATGATGGTGAGCATTAAATGAGATAATGCATGTGAACCCCTTGAGTCCGGTAGGATATAACAAGTTCTTGATGCATTTGAGCTATTATGGTGATGATGATGATGATGATGATGACTGGAAGCTGAATATTCAGCCTTGCGCACTACCAACAGAGCTGAGCAACCTTCTCCTTGCTGCAACATATTTCAAGGCACAAGCAAGAGGGAAGGAAGAAAGGATACGAGAGTATACAGAGGGAATGTGGTGAAGGGACAGGCGACGAAGGGAGAAACAGAACAGGAGGGATGAGCGGCTGTGTGGGCTCGACGAGGACTGGCTGGCAACACAGGTTTCCTACCTCTTTGCTGCCAACTAGTGGAGCCAAACCCTAGCTATTCTTCTCACCTTTGCTTCCTTCCTGCGTTCCCTCAACTTCTGCTTTTCATTGTTCTGTGGAAAATGGAATACAAGTTTTCTAATCTCAGAAGGGATGGGAGGGATGGATGTTATTCACAACTTCTAAGCACTCAGATCCTTTGTGGATGAAAGGTGCCATGCATTACAATGTGATCTAGGAATAAAAATGTCTCCCTTTCAAGTAACAGTGTTAACTTAAAGTTTCCGTAGCGGCCACAAACTTGTATCTGTATAAAATGTTACATAAACATTAAAGTCAGAGTAAAATACTTAGTGGACACTTAATATGAGAAACTTTACCAATAATGCCTAACTAGTTTTGCGAAATAGTCCTAAGAAGAGTATGATTATAAATAGTTATTATCATACAAATGGCAGAATATAACAAAACTATCTTAGAGGTAGAGGTTATGCTTGCTCTTAACTCAAATTGGAAATTCAGAAGGAATAGTCCTCACTCTGCATCCCTGGCACCAATGCCCCCGAAGCTCTGACTCCCCAGGTTACTTGGTTTCTCCAACGTTCTATCAAGGTCAGACTCATGTCAATACCTGAAGTAATAACCTCAATTGTTTCCTTTAACTTTAATGTGATCTAGTGATCTATTCCTGCTTCTGAGGAAGACATTTCTTGGGAGCAGAGTAGAAAGCCCAGCCCTACTAGAGAGAAAGTACGAGAAGGGTGCAGGAGCGTACTTGGTTCTGCTTCAACGCTGACTCTAGTCTAGGCGCGAGGCAGTGTTACCTGGGAAACAACATGGCTAGCATCTTTCTCGGTTCGAATGGCTCCCTTCTTCAATGTGCTTGAAGGGCCACCTGTAAACCAGGTGTCTCAATGACCAGGCTAATCCAGAACCACATCAGTAATCCCCCAACGTCTGCATTTGAACGTCAAGGCCTGCGCTGCGTGTGTGACGTACGCATCCCTGGCACCAATGCCCCCGAAGCTCTGACTCCACAGGTCTGGGGCGTATTTTGAAAAGATGAATGCACGTGCAACCGAGCTAGACACCGCCAGGCTAGATAATATCAGGGACCATATATCACTGTAATTATTGATCTAATAAAATATTTGTGTGTGGCTCCCCTGCCACCTCCCTGCCGGTGGGGGCCGCCATGTGTGGGCAACATCGACCTGCTGGCCGCCTCAGCCCAGCTCCCATGTCTGCATGAGAGAGCAGGACAGCACAGCCAGGTGCACGGCGAGGCCTCCACCCGCACTGGTCACTGGCCGGAGTTCTCCGTTCCCTGACCCCTGGACCCCGCCATAGTCTGCTTGAGTGGCCCTATTTCCTGGCATCTGCCTTCCCACAGAAGAAGTGATTCAAGTGGGAAAGAAACGTGAGCAGGTGCCATTGAGGCTTGGAGATGCTGAAACGTGACTTGTCTGCTGCAACCTCGGGAATCAGGAGACTGAATCTAAAGATAATACGGAGGGAAACCCAGAAGATTCCAAGAAGTCTAGGGGTGACTTCTCAGACACCACACGCCACAGCGATGCGGAAGACTTAGCACAGGAGTCCTGTGAAAACTGCCCTCCAGAGACCAAATCATTAACTCCCTTTACCTGATTCTAGGCTTGTTGGGTTCCTCTCCCTTTGCACGAAAAGACCCCTTTTCAACTCTTTCAAAACCTTCATCTGCCTGGGGGAAGCGGGTCGGGCTTTCCCCCGTCCCATCTGGCTGCCTCTTGAAATAAACTCTGTCCTTGTTGCATTAAAAAAACAACTGTATCCGTTACAGTCCTACCTGGTAGTTGTAATACGGCTGGTTAATAACTCCCGCTATGGCTTTCCCTTCATAAGCAATTCCAATCAGGACTGTTACATTGTCAAGAAGACCTAGAGAGAAGAAATGAGTATCGATTATGATGTAACTTTTTCATGTTATGACTCGTCATCGGCACGTCAATTGCTGAGGGGTTATTTTTGCAGTAAAGGTATGGAATCCACCGTGATTCATCCATGATCAATCCAACTTCTGGCAAAATGCACACATTATAAGAGAGCTGGCCAGAGAGAGAAGCGGGGTCTAGGGCTACGTCACTGGATTGCCACACCTGGTCTCATTAGCACACTCTGAAAACCAATTAAATTGACCGGCCATAATTCCACAGCCATTATCACTGGATCCCTGTGCCCCCTCTGCCACCATCCAGCTCACTCCTGCCTGCTGGAGTCACTTTTATAATAAAGGCTTCTCAAGCCCTTTCCCAGAACCAGTGAATCAAAATCTCCAGAGGTGGGGGAGGTGGGAATCTAGACCAGCTGTGTAGGTGCTATGTGTACCCTAAAGCTGTCCAGAGCCTCCCTGTTCCACAGTGGAGATGTCTTCAGTGCACACACATACATACACACGCACACACATGCACACGTGCTCACACACGCACGCACACACTCTGCAGGACTCGCTCATTGCAGCTACGTCTCCTCCAAGGACAGAGAAGGAGTTTTCTCTAGTAATTATGAGAAATTTTCTTTTCTCAAGCCATGCAGCTGAGAACCAACGTAAGAAAAACTAGGGAGCTCTTTAGTTCAGAAGTAAAACTCAAAGCTTACGTTATGCTCGTAAAATCTAAAACTTGGGCTCTGAGCCTGGTCTTGCTTACGTTCATGTTGCCCATTTTAAGTTAATTTGCTGCTTTGTTCTCTTTCTCATCTTCAATAATTTCAGAAGAGAGAAATATTGCACGGTGTTTCCAAACCCATCTTTAAAGGTGAGGCGGAACAGAAAGACAGTGAGGGGACAGTGTATGGGGGGGCGGGGGGAATAGGGCCAGTGGAGGAACAAGGGCAGTACGGTTGTGCTTCTCTTTGGGGCTCTACACCAACAAAGCTGGGGTTCAGTGTGGTAACACTGGTTCAATGCTAGTTATTCTCACGTAAGGCCATTAGAATTGGGGGGCTGGTAGACTGTGTGTGTGTTGGGGGGGGGTATGAGAAGGAGATGAATTTTCTCTGTGTCTTGTGTTAGCTAGGATGGGCACACACACAGCTTTAGGACACACACATAAAAAATAACACCGGCTTTTCACACAACATAAGAAACAGTAAATGTTTACACTCAACATCACAGGCTAGTCCTCCTGCTTCCAATACAAACAGGAAAGAGGTACCAACCTTCAGTGTACTCCTTGGTGCCATCCAGAGGATCGACCCAGACCACGAGCTAAAAGATACCAGGAAATATCCACATTAAGTCTCCAAAACATATACATGTAAAAAAAAAAAAAAAGATTTAAATAGACTAACCAAAACAACTCCCTTTTTATTTCAGTTCTGAAATTATATTACAGATGGCTTACACCAGTGTCATCAGTTTTGTGATGGTAAAAAGAAACGTATTGTTTTGCAGTCATGGAACAAGTCCTGTTCAGTTGAAGAAAAGTCCGACCTAAGAATTTTAAAAATGAAGTGCTTCCCGGGTTGACTGTCAGCGGCAACTGGATACAATGCCGGGTACACACTGAGCGCTAGATCAGTGGTTCTCAACCTTCCTAATGCCGCGACCCTTTAATACAGTTCCTCATGTTGTGGTGACCCCCAATTTCACTGTTACAAATTGAACATCATTAAAGCATAGTGATTCATCACAAAAACAATATGTAATTATAGATGTGTTTTCTGATGTGTTTCTTAGGCGACCCCTGTGAAAGGGTCGTTCGACCCCCCAAAAGGGGTCGCAACCCACAGGTTGAGAACCGCTGCTCTAGATGGTGAGATGGAGAAACACCACAGTGGCGCCAAAGTGCGCCGATTTTAAAAAATGACGACGTGACTGACGTAAGGTCACCGTCTGTATATGACAAATAAAAAACCACAGTTTATAGAACTGATGGTAGACAGAAAAAGGAGTCCTTTCTACTTAAGACTGTTGACCTGATTCAGGCCAGGTGGCCATGAACCATTAGAATTGGAACACGATAGGACTTTGCCAGCGAGGGCTTCTTCTGATGAAAGACACGTCTCCTTTCCTTTGCATCCTTCAGACCCCAGAGCAAGGTGCCTTACTCACGGTGAGTATTCAATGAGTGTGTGTTAGACAAATTAAAAGTAGAAAATCAAAGAAGTATGACAGTTATCTGAAGTCACGGATGTAACTTAAGCAACGACAAAATGCAGGCAAGGCGAGTTTCACGGCCTTCCAAAAATGTAAGGTAGTGGTCTGTTTCATCTCCTTCCGGCCCCAGTTGCCAATGAAATGTTTTAGTACCAAATCTGCTACGTAAAAAATTAGATTTTCTCCCTAAAAGTAGTTTTAATAATAGTTTTAGAGTGAAGAAGAACCAGCAGCAAGAAAAACTGAATTCTAAATTAACAGGTCAGACATTCCATGTGGTGCCTGATACCCCACGTTGGCTCTGAAAGTTTCCCAAGTCCCGGGTGCCCCTATTTTATAACTGCCAACTTCCCATCATTCTAGGCGAGTGGTATTCCCTTTACTATGGCAGAAACAAACACAAAGAGACCACCAAGAAAGACGAACAGAGAGCTGAGCAATGATGTGGAACATACATCTTCCTCTTTAATCGTGCTGTACTGCGACGGGCACGGCTTCCGGAGGATTTCTTCCCACTGCCCATCTTCAATCAGCTCCTGATCCACTTCCTCAGAAGGCAGGTCCTGCAGCAGAGAACACTGGTCACTGACGCGGCCGGGTGTCCACCGAGCACTTCGGTGTCAGGGACGGAAGAAATGTCAGCATCCGTTTTCACTATTCCTACCATTTAGGTTCAGCGCTTTAATTGCGGGTAGTTTTTATCGCGCGCTAACAGGTGGCGCGGGCCATTTTTGCTAATTTTTTGCGCAAATGGCAACGTTCAGTAAAATTATGATAACTTTAGTTTTACATATTTTTTTCAATGAAACTTTTTGTGATTTACTATAAAATGTATACTGAATTATTTTTCTTAGAATCTCACTGAATGCATGGCGAGGCAGAGAATTGTGTGAAGGGATGACTCTACGCAGTTGAATAGATTACCGTTATACCTGGAAGTACATACATAATTCACCATTGTATGTGTTAGAGACCCAAATTTTGTCCTTTGGAATTTGTATATCTGCATGTTAGCATCCCTTTAGAGCAATAAAAAAATATAAAAATAAACGTATTTATACGTACCCGCATTCTACCGCTAGTCTATAAAAAACGTATTAATATGTGTCCTGTGCTCTACTACCAGTCAACGTAAAACGTATAAATACGTTTCCCGCATACAATGTGTTAAAGCAAACCGAGTAAAACTGCAAACATGACCAGATAGGGCTCGTCAAAGCTGGCTACAGAGTCCCAACTTCATTAGGCTGAACAGTGAGAAGGAAAAGAATTTTTACGTACTATAAACTTTTCAACATAAGTGGTTCTGACGTCAGCTACTGCTCTCTCAATTACATGAGACATCCATTCTTTCACTTTCTCAGCGTTAGGGTGTTTGGCTACGTAAGTAAGTAAGCCTAATTAGAAAAACAGACGCCCTGCAGGTGTGGCTCAGTGGTTGGGCGTCAACCTATGAATCAGGAGGTTGTGGTTCGATTCCTGGTCACGGTACATGCCCAGGGATGGGGGCTTGGTCCCCAGTATGGGGCATGCAGGAGGCAGCCCAACATGATTCTCTCTCATCATTGATGTTTCTCTCTCTCACCCTCTCCCTTCCTTTCTAAAATCAGTATGTTTTGAAAAAAACAGAAACAAAACCCATTTTATTCTAAACTTCTAGAACTCTGCCCATCTTTTAGTTCAGATGCTGAATATTATAACAAAAACCATATCTTTGATGGTCAAGAATTGAGACATCTGGCCTAAAAATGGACCAAAATATTTCATAATCAAACATTTCCTTCAAGTCTTAAGGAATATAATTATTTTTGCATTAAAATGGTAGATATAATGCTTGAGATCATAATAGTGGTATATAAATCACTAACGTGGCAACTGTACACCCATATGGTAAACAGGCATTTAAATACATACATAGCCCTGCCAACTCTCACCTCTTCCCCTATGATGGTTAGTTTGGGGAATTTCCGTGCCAGGGAGGAGCAGATGCTCATTTGTGCCAGTCGGTCGGCTTTGGTCTGCAGGTCCGTTGGACTGGTCTGCAACAGAGAGGCAAGCGTTAGCAGAGCTCATATGCAATGTCATCCTCTGATGCCTAAGACATGAGCATCTGTATCATTTAAATGACCCTGTCTATTGTTAGATTCATAGGACTTAACATCATATGATCAACTATTTTCTTGGCTTGGTTTTTCTCAGGGGATTCAAAGTGGTAAAAGTTTGGAGAGGAGCTTTCAGATTATCAGAAGATGTTCTTCCCAGTTCAGAAATTGCTTTCATGCCTGGCCAGTATGGCTCTGTTGGTTGAGTGTCATCCCATGTATGAGGAGGTAGAAGTTGGATTCCTGGTCAGGGCATATGCCGAGATTGTGTGCTTGATTCCCCGTGGGGAGCTGATCAATGTTTCTCTCTATTGAGGTTTCTATCTCTCTTCCTCTCCCTTCCTCTCTCTGAAATCAATAAAAACATATTTTACAAAAAGAAAAGAAATTGCTTTCAAAGATCTCTACATCAATTTTTTTTGTTTAAACAGGTTAAGAGATAGAAAATTCATAACTTCTTCAAGGCAGTCAAAGCTAAAAAACACTGTATCTTCAGTTACTTGAAAGGAATTCTTTATATGGATTCTTCCAGAACTTTCACTCACTAATCCGAATCCTAGTAATTCAAGGGGTCCCCAGGGCACCTCCTCAGTGTAAAGAAAAAATCCCTATTCCTGAAATATAAAAATGAACAACTATAATATTTAATATGCTGCTCACTTATGGCACCCTCACTCAACCCAGTCATTCTAGTGAAAGACAGTGGAAAATCTCAGAACTGACAGCCACAACCTGCTTTGTTAGTTTCTTTTCAGAGAATTATGACTAGCTCTCATTTACACATGCCTGGTTAGGTGAATTCACAGATGATATGAATTTGCGTACGCAGTGCAATTTTTACGATGCTTTGTAATGAGTTCGGCAATGATCATGAAAATCAACCCCTTTAAGGCACACTGCGGTCTGCTGCTTATCTCGATGCCAAGTGCTACTCTGCCCCAATGTGGTGCCACCAGGCAGAGATCTCTGTTTCATTCCCTAAAGAGTGATGTCTGGCGCACAGTAGGTACTCTGAGGAGAATTGTTGAACTGGAAGACGACATATATCAATGAAGTTCAGAGACCACCACTCCAGAGAAAAACACACACGTTGGCAACCATTTAACTCTATGAGAAAGCTATTCCTACTCTTTTCTTCCCTAGCACAAATATTTCCTGCTCTTCCTACTGGTAGAGGGTCAGATCTCACCATTCTGCAATCCCCAAAGGGGAGCCATTGATTATTCCAGCTATTAAAGTCTGTCCAGATTATTACATCCTTGAGCGAAACCTCAAGGAACAAAAACGAAGTCGGTACGAAATAAGATGAGATTTCCCGGTACCTTCTCCACAATTCCCAGGTCTCCTTCGGCGATAACACGTCTGACTATGGTTCCTGCCTTCTGAGCTATCGAATATGCTGAGGCTACCAACCGCATCAGCACCGTGTGACCGGAAGCCATGGTCAGTCCTAAAGGGAAAGGGAGAGAAAGGTTTTGTTACTTTCAAAGCCAACTACTGGCTTTTATGTACTTGAATTCAATCCAGCACGTATACTAGTACAGTGCATGCTCACTTGGGGTTGCCCCATTTAACTGTGTAGATCGTTAAGAGAGATCTGGAAAAACCCCCATTTCAGTAACAGCTCTCAATAAACTCTAAGTCTTCTCTCTCTGCAGATGGGACATGTGGCGGCAACAGGTCCCAGCCGACTGAGCACGCGAGAAAGCTTTATGCACGAGGTGTGTGACGTGCAAAGACTGTGGTGGGCGCTTCCGGAGCTGAAAATACATAACAACTTCCTTGAAGAGCTGATATTGTGGTGCACTGGGAATAAAGTATTAAACCCTCAGGTCTATAGCATAGACCTGGTGCCAAGACAGGTGTGAATAGCATAAGGGATGTGGATATACAGCAGTGACGGCGAACCTTTTGAACTCAGCATGTCAGCATTTGGAAAAACCCTAACTTAACTCTGGTGCCGTGTCATATATAGAAATTTTTTGATATTTGCAACCATAGTAAAACAAAGAGTTATATTTTTGATATTTATTTTATATATTTAAATGCCATTTAACAAAGAAAAATCAACCAAAAAAATGAGTTCGTGTGTCACCTCTGACACGTGTGTCATAGGTTTGCCATCACTGATATACAGGGTGTCCCCCAAAAATGAATGCACACTTTGAATAATTATAAAGGCAGTAGTATTATTAAAATGCATTTCATTTTCAAAATGAAGTAGAATCTACAGACATAGTGTGCATACATTTTTAGGGGGGGTATACCCTGTATGTGTGGAGTAATTAAAAAGGGGAGGGATTGCATGTGATTACAATTAGTTTCTGAAAAATCGGCAAGTATTGCTTTAGAGATAAAGTGAAATTTCACTTGCTGATTATTTACCAGCATCCTCATCAGTAGCCACACAGAGAGAATAGCAGCGTAACTAACTGGAGTGAAGACCAATTGTATAGAAAAGTAATGAGTGTCTGAGTCGTTTCTGGCCCCGGTAGAAAAATAGGGAGAAAACAGCCTTTAGGATCAAAGGCAGCAGCTCAGTCCAAGTGAGAAAGGCCCTTCACCCCTTTGTCGACCCATTCCAGGTGAAGTGGCTCTTCTCAGCAGATGCATTCCCACAGAGAGGTGTCAGCTAAAGGCTACCCATTGGGGGCACTCGGCAGCCAAGGAAATAAGTCCCTCAGTCACTAAAATTGCAGGATTTGAATCTGTATCTTCAAAGATGAACATATTTGATCCTAAACCAGTCAGGGCCTTTCAGCCTCTTTTTAAAAAATTTATATTTTTATTGATTTCAGAGTGGAAGTGAGAGGGAGAGAGAAACATCAATGATGAGAATCATTGATTGGCTGCCTCCTGCACGCCCCACTGGGGGGCATTGAGCCCGCAACCCGGGCATGTGCCCTTGGCTGGAATCGAACCTGGGACCCTTTAGTCCACAGGCCGACGCTCTACCCACTGAGCCAAACGGGCCGGGGCCATGAGGCTGTTTTAATGTGTTGCACACTCAGTCCCCGCCTTACGTAAGATGGCCGTGTGGGAGGCGGACCGGTTTCCCGCACTGTATGGTGTTGTTCTTCCTGTTCTCATGTAGCATTTACCTTTGAGCCGGCTGAGCAGTCATTACAGTCTTGCCAGGCTTCATACATGACTAAACCACTCCCCTTTCTTTTTGCCAAGTCCACGGTCACTTCTTCCAAAGAAAAACTTGTAGGCTCTGTCTTTCTCCTACGTTCTTCAGAAAATGTATATTTACGAACCCCCATGTAGGAACCGACATCAGCTTTATGCGAATGTGGAAAATCAGGTTTGGTGCGAAGCGCACATTGACTTACAAAGAGATCCTGTAAATCTCTTTTCAATCGGCACATAGGAAAACATGTCTACCATGTCCTCTGAAGAATTTCTTTGGTCCAAGCTGAATCAGCAATGAAATGTTACGGTCCCCTAGCCCTAATATTGTTCTCACATACTTTTTTAAACAAATGAATACAATGTTGGCTCTTTGTATAAGGAAAATGCAGCATATTTTTATTTTTTATTTTAAAATATATTTTATTGATTTTTTTTTACAGAGGAAAGGAGAGGGATAGAGAGTTAGAAACATCAATCAGCTGCCTCCTGCACACTCCCTACTGAATATGTGCCCGCAACCCAGGTACATGCCCTTGACCATAATCGAACCTGGGACCCTTCAGTCCGCAGGCCGACGCTCTATCCACTGAGCCAAACCGGTCAGGGCCCTCTGAGCCTTTTTAATTGTGACCCACCCCAGACCCCAAATGAGAATTACCTGTAGCCGGTACCAGTGGATACAGAATAAGGCCAAAAAAGCTACCTGCAAGTTAACTAACTTCCTTCAGATTAAACTCACCCTGCTTCCTTCTCTACCATCTGTACTCCACTGGGTCCTAAAACACGCCCGTTCGCTTACCTGGCTCAAAGGTGAGTGATACCTGTGAACAATTAGAACAACACTTCTACAGCAACGGTTCTCAACCTGTGGGTCGCGACCCCTTTGGCAGTCGAATGACCCTTTCACAGGGGTTGCCTAAGACCATCCTGCATATCAGATATTTACATGACGAATCATAACAGTAGCAACATGACAGTTATGAAGTAGCAACGAAAATAATGTTATGGTTGGGTCACAACATGCGGAACTGTGTTTAAAGGGCCAGAAGGTTGAGAACCACTGCCCTACAGTAAGGGAACCTGATCTGTCTTGTGCGAGTTTACTGAAAACCAGCATAGCGGTTACAGGCGCAGGCATTGGAGACAATTGCCTGAGTCCAGATCATGGCCCTGGCACATACACGCTGTGTGACCTTAGGAAAGCCACTTAAACTCTCTGTGCCTCAGTCTGTAAAATGGAGCTAACAAGGGTACCGAAAGCACGGAGTTGTAATCATTACACGAGAAGCACATGTAAAGCACGTAAGACAGTCCCCGGCACAAGGGAAGCACGGAGTTACACTGGCTAAAACATTCCCGTAGCTTTTGCAACGTTATTTTCACCCCGAAGATATTCTGTTGATAATCATATGACCCTGAATCATAGTACAGCTTCTTTTAAATCACATTCTGGGCTTGAGGCTTAGAGTAGGTATGAAAAAAAGGTTGTATGACCATGGAAAACAATCAACCTAACTTAATCCTATCTTTTAGGTCAGTGGTTCTCAACCTTCCTAATGCCCCGACCCTTGAATACAGTTCCTCATGTTGTGGTGACCCCCAATTTCATTGTTACAAATTGAACATAATTAAAGCACAGTGATTAACCACAAAAACAATATGTAATTATATACATGTTTTCCGATGGTCTTAGGCGACCCCTGTGAAAGGGTCGTTCGATCCCCAAAGGGGTCGCAACCTACAGGTTGAGAACCGCTGTTTTAGGGAATCTTTACAGCTGCCAACGTGGCTAGTTCAGGAATCCAACAATCCTCTTTCTCTCTCTCTCTCTCCCTCTCTCTCTCTCTTTTCATAGCCTGGGAGAGTATCTTGAATTCTGTATAAAGGTGGCGAGCATATGAGGGATTAATGAGTGTGCGATCAAAATACTGAGATTATTTATCTTTGGAACCCAACCAAATGGTGCTAATGTTCAAGGTCATCTGGAAATATAAAAAATGTGAGCACAACAGAGCATACTCTCCTTACCAGTTACCAAAATAGGTTATAATATTAGAGTAATTAAAACAGGTTAGTCCTGGGCAGAATAAGACAAATTAAGGGCATCAAATAAATTCCAGAGCTAGAACCAAACACAGTAAAGCTGATATTTCAAATCACGGGGGAAAGTTAATTAGGCATAAATGGCGGGGCAATTGGTAATTTTTTTTTTTAAAAAAAACGCTGGATCCTTTTTGCATTCTTTATATTGATACAAATTTCAGATCAGTGCATGATTTTAAAAGCAAAGCATGAAACTCTAAAAGTATGGGAGTAAAACGGGTGAAGTGTTTTATAAGTTTGGTTAAAGGGCTTATAAACATGACGAAAAAAAAGAATCCATAAAAGAATGTACTGATAAATTTGACTGCATATACAATTTTGACTGTATAGTCACAACACCATAAACAATGCAAAAAGATGATTGACAAAAAAAAACCAACAGAAAAAAATTTGTATCACATGCTAGATACATGAGCTCATTTTTGTTACATAAAAAGGGCTTGTAGCCCTAGCCAGTTTGGCTCAATGGATAGAGTGTCGGCCTGCAGACTGAAGGGTCCCGGGTTCGATTCCAGCCAAGGGCACATGCCTGGGTTTTGGACTCGATCCCCAGTAGGGGGCATGCAGGAGGCAGCCGAACAATGATTCTCTCTCATCGTTGATATTTCTCTCTCTCCCTCTTCCTTCTTCTCTGAAATCAATAAAGAAATATATTTAATTAAAAAAAAGGGCTTTTATGCACCCATAGGTAAAAGATGAATAATCCAATAGAAAAAGGGGCAAAGGACACGAGCAAGCAATTCCTAGAAAAAAGAAAAGCAATGGCTGGTAAATACCTGAAATGCTCGACTTCACTAGTTATGATAGAAACGCAAACGAAAACCATGAGAAATGGCTGTTCGCTTGTGAGATTGGCATAGACAAGAGAGTTTGCCCAAATGTGTCTGGAGTGTGAGGACACCTCGTCCTGAGCACTGTTACAAGGATGCAAAGTGGTGAAACCTTTTGGAAAGGTTATAAAAACCGCATTTAAAAAGCCAAACGGCCCTAACCGGTTTGGCTCAGTGGATAGAGCCTCGGCCCGCGGACTGAAGGGTGCCAGGTTCGATTCCGGTCAAGGGCATGTACCTGGGTTGCGGGCACATCCCCAGTGGGGGGTGTGCAGGAGGCAGCTGATCAATGTTTCTCTCTCATGGAAGTTTCTAACTCTCTATCCTCTCCCTTCCTCTCTGTAAAAAAATCAAAAAGAAAAAAGCCAAACGTACAGGTTTCGAACTAGCAATTCTATTTTCAGGAAAACAAGCAAATCAAGCAGGTGTACAGGTGTGTAGGGAGGACCCACAGTAGGAAGAATGCCTGCTCTTTTAATGAGATTTAATTGTAGGTTTTAATTGTAGATTTAACCCACAGTCTAGGTTTGCCTTGTTATTTTCACAAAATAGAGCCCATAAAGACCCCGGAGAATGAAGATAAAATCTCATCTCCGCACCTGCAATGGTGACACTCACGAACCTCGGTCCGACACAGGACCATCCGGACGCGCAGAGTCACGCCAATCTTTTTGCACAGAAATCCCTCGAATCTCCGCGTATCTGTGCAGAGGGGCGGAGTTAGGGGACCTTGCCCTTGCCCTGACCCGCAGGGGAGAAACTTACTTACGCGGACAGGCCTGGGACAGAGTTGGTCGAAAGACACTCCAGGGATAACCCCCCAAAAGGCGTTATGAAGCAACAGGTCCCTCGCGGCGTCCGGCACAGCTGTCTCCCAGTCAACCGGACGTCAGGGGACGTAGGGCAACCCTACCCCCGCTACTGCGCATGCGGCAAACCTGGCGCAGGCGCAGAGCAGCTGCGTCGCCGAGGCACCGTCCGACTCCCGGCCCGGCGAAACTCCACTGCTCCGTGTTTTCCTTAAGCTCTCGGTTGGCGCTAAGTTGCCCGCGGCCCAAGTGGAAGGTGTGTGTCTACCTTTTTAAGGATTCTTGCTGCTTTCAGCGAGTTTCCTAGCCCACTCTGTGCAAACAGTCCACCCTTTTTTTTTTTTTTTTTAAAAAGTACTTTATTGATGTTTCGCAGAGAGGAAGGAAGAGGGATAGAGAATTAGAAACATCAACGAGAGAGAAACATCGATCAGCTGCCTCCTGCACACCTCCTACTGGGGATGTGCCCGCAACCAAGGTACATGCCCTTGTCCGGGATCGAACCTGGACCTTGCAGTTCGCAGGCCGAGGCTCTATCCACTGAGCCACACCACTTAGGGCCACGGTCCACTCAATATGTTCCCTGGGTTAGTGATCTCACCCTCGAAGGGGTTAACCACGACACCTCCACCTCCTCTCCCAACAACAAAACAACTTTATGCAGAATTGAATTTGCATTTGCCTGCTGATCACTCCCAGGAGATGGCCTCTTCCTGGATATTAATGATTTTTTTTTTTTTTTTTTTTTTTGCTTGATGCACTGCCAAAAGTTAAAACCGGCAAAAACAAAATTTGTCTCTCCCTCTCCCACCCCACGTAGGCATTCAGCGTATGTTTAAGGAGCACACTTTATGCTGCTTGAGCAAAGCGAATAGCCAACCATTCTTTTTTTCAATATTAAAAAGCAGGGCACTGTGCTTAGACCAATAATGAAAAGCAAGATGGCAGAGTAAATAGCAAACCTATGGGTTATAAATGCAAGTTGCTTAGCCTCCTCCATATAAACAGAAATTCTGCGATTGATTGGCAAGCCAAGACCCCTGCAGTTATACCTCATGTTATTGCACGTTGCATTATTGCGCTTCACGGGAATTGCGTTTTGTTTTTGTTTTTTAAATAAATTGAAGGCAAGTTCGAACTGCAAATTTGGATTCCTCATTTGCATAAATTGGACCCATCCCGGACCTGGGCGGGGACTGTCGTTGTAAAATTGGGCCTCCTCCCCCCATTTGCCTCAAGGGAAGCTCACCTTTAGTTTCCTCCTGAGGCTGTGTTCTCAGGTTGGCAAACAGTTCATCTGAATAAAATCTTTTCTTTTACTGCACCCCGAACTGGGGATGCACCCCGAACTGGGGACGCCTGTTGGCATTGGATTGGTGGCAGCAAATTTTGTTGACATGATAAAGGTACTACTTTATTTTTAAATATTAAAAAATATTTTAAAAAGATTTTATTGATTTCAGAGAGGAAGGGAGAGGTAGAGGGAGATAGAAACATCAATGTATTTTTTATTTCATTATTATTTTTTAAGGGCAGGGAGCTGTGATTGAAATCAAAGCCCCAGCTGCGGCCACATTTGGCCCCGCCCCGCCCCCTCGGACTCAGCCCCGCCCCTCGGAGCCAGCCCCGCCCCTCGGAATCAGGCCTCCCACCCACTCCCGCCCCTACCCCAGCGGCTGAAGCGAATACCCGGAGCTGGACTACCATCTCGGATCGGGAAGACTGCGCGCCCTACCCTTCCGTGCCCCGCGCGCGTGCGCACTCCCGCTCGGCTCGCGAGGTGTTGCTGGAGTCCCTGTTCCCCGATCTAGGGTGGGAGCCGAGGCCCCGGCGATCCCCGGGAACTTGGGGGCGGCCCGGCATGCGTTGGGGGCTGCGTCCTCGCGGGCCGGGGCCGGGGGCCCTGGCCGCCGCCTGGAACCTGTGGGGGCCGCCCCGCCTCCTCCCCTGTCGCCCGGGGTGGCGAGGGGCCGCCCGGGGGCTGGTGGTGCGCTCGGTCGCCGGGGCCAGTAACCAGCTGCAGAGCGCGAGTGAGGGCAAGTACCGGGACACGGTGCTGCTGCCGCAGACCAGCTTCCCCATGAAGCTGCTGGGCCGCCAGCAGCCCGACACGGAGCTGGAGCTCCAGCAGGTGCGGGGGGCCCCGCCTCTGCGCCGCGCGGGGGACCGGCAGGGAGGCCGGGCCGGCGGGAGCTGGGGAGACGGGCGGGCCCGGGCCGCGCTGGGCGGGGAGGGCGTGGGACAGGCCCGCGGGCTCCAGGCCCCTTTGGGGTGCGTGTGTGTGTGCGATCAGATGAGTGGAAACCACCCACTAAACCACCCACTTCTTACGGGTTTTCTGCCTGAAACTTCAGTGAAGAACCTGGAGGTAAGAGTCCCTAAGCGGCCGCAGGTTCCCGAGCAGAATATTAAAGGGGTGAAACCTAAGTCCCATGTTCCGCTCGGGCAAAACAGGCCAGTGTGGATACTTTCCCAGCGGCTTGTAAAAAGTAAATGAATCTGTTCACATAGAAATAAAAATTTGATTAGTGCCCGGCTGGTGTGGCTCAGTGGTTGACCCTCGACCTATGAACCCGGAGGTCCCAGTTCTTTTCCCGTTCGGGGCACATGCCTGGGTTTCGGGGCTCCACCTCCAGGACGGGGCGTGCAGGAGGCAGCTCATGGGTGATTCTCTCTCATCACTGATGTTTCTATCCCTCTCTTCCTCTGAAATCAATAAAAAAAATTTTTTTTTAATTTTTGGTTAATGCACTTTCTATCCTCTGTAAACTTTTGTGCTGAATGTTTGGACTGACTACGCTAAATAAAATTTGTTGCCTAACTGTACAAAAAATTTTTTTTTGGTTATGAGGACAAGTGGAAGCTCACCTTTGTGGTGTTACTAGATCCCTGGTTGGACTTACGACTTGTTTGCAGGACGGAGTGGTGAGACTTAACTCTCTCTGAGTTGCTTCCCAAACTAGGTGACTGCCTCCTGTATTCAGTCGAATATTCTAAAGGGCAGAGATGCACATGTTAGTTTCATTCTAGGCAGCGGTTCTCAACCTGTGGGTCGCGAACAATGAAAATACATCCTGCATATCAGATATTTACATGACGATTCATAACAGGAGCAAAATGACAGTGATGAAGTTGCAACGGAAATAATTTTATGGTTGGGGGTCACCACGACATGAGGAACTGTATTAAAGGGTCGCGGCATTAGGAAGGTTGAGAACCACTCTTAGGGTCTTTAAAGCCCATGACACTCGGGATATATTGGTTAAGCAAGTTTCGGTTAGCTTACATATGACAGTTATCAGCCTTCAGGACTCATGGACTTGTTCTGGTACCTAATTTTTTAAAAATATATTTTATTGATTTTTTACAGAGAGGAAGGGAGAGGGATAGAGAGTTAGAAACATCGATGAGAGAGAAACATCGATCAGCTGCCTCCTGCACACCCCTGACTGGGGATGTGCCCGCAACCAAGGTACATGCCCTTGACCGGAATCGAACCCGGGACCCTTGAGTCCGCAGGCCGACGCTCTATCCACTGAGCCAAACCGGTTAGGGCGGCACCTAGTTTTTGAATGCATTTTATCCGGGACCTTCTGTATTCCAGGAACTGTGACCGTTTCAGATGTTCTCTTATTTCATCTTCACGCCAAGTAGATGTTAACGGTTTTTTCAAAGGAGGAAAACAGGCCCATTAGGGCAAAGTTGAGTGGGCCAAGGTCACGTAGTAGATTGCCCTGCTGTTGTCTCAGACTTGCAGAGGAGCAAGGGCTGGGATTTAATCAGAAGTCTGTGAGGGCGACTATTGAAAGGTTTTAAGAGAGTCCTCAGCTGTCAGAGGGGAAGGGGGTTAAGGAGGCTGGTGGAAAACCTGAAGGGATTCAGCAAAAAAACAAAACAAAAGAAAAACCCAAACTCACCCTAGCCAGTGTGGCTCAGTGGATAGAGCGTGGGTCCTCGGACTGAAGGGTCGTGGGTTCGATTCCAGTCAAGGGCATGTACCTTAGTTGCAGGCTCCATCTGAGCCTCAAGTTGGGGGCGCGGGGGAGGCAGCCAATCGATGTGTCTGTCTCTCTCACATCGATGTTTCTTTGTCTCTCCCCCTTCCTTCCATTCTCTCTAAAAATCAATACTTATAGACACAGACAACAATATGATTACCGGAAGGAAGGGGGGATAAACGGTGATGGAAGGAGACTTGAATTGGGGTGGTAAACGCACAATACAGTATACAGATGATGTATTATAGAACTGTACCCCTGAAACCTGTATAATATTGCTAACCACTCTCACCCTAATAAATTCAATGAAAAAAGTACTCAGGCTTCCTCCTGCAACAGGCGTGGGTCACGCTGTCGCTCGCTCTCTTTCTGCCGCCATCTTGGTTCCGCGTTCCCCGCACAAAATGCCCGGCGAAGCCACAGAAACCGTCCCTGCTACGGAGCAGGAGCTGCCACAGCCCCAGGCTGAGACAGGGTCTGGAACAGAGTCTGACAGTGATGAATCGGTACCAGAGCTCGAAGAACAAGATTCCACACAGGCAACCACACAACAAGCTCAGCTGGCGGCGGCAGCTGAAATCGATGAGGAACCAGTCAGTAAAGCAAAACAGAGCCGGAGTGAAAAGAAGGCACGGAAGGCTATGTCCAAACTGGGTCTTCGACAGGTTACAGGGGTTACCAGGGTCACTATACGGAAATCTAAGAATATCCTCTTTGTCATCACAAAACCAGATGTCTACAAGAGCCCTGCTTCAGATACCTACATAGTTTTTGGTGAAGCCAAGATTGAGGATTTATCTCAGCAAGCACAGCTAGCAGCTGCTGAGAAATTTAAAGTTCAAGGTGAAGCTGTCTCAAACATTCAAGAAAACACACAGACTCCAACTGTACAAGAGGAGAGTGAAGAGGAAGAGGTTGATGAAACAGGTGTGGAAGTTAAGGACATAGAATTGGTCATGTCACAAGCAAATGTGTCAAGAGCCAAGGCAGTCCGAGCCCTGAAGAACAACAGTAATGATATTGTAAATGCTATTATGGAATTAACAATGTAACCATCTAAAAAGGAAGACCCTTTTTTGTGTGTTTCAAAAGAGTTACTGCAGCTTGGTTTGAAATTTGTACTGTTTCTATCATTAATAAAGTTATGGCTTCTTGTGGGATGAAAAAAAAAAAAAAAAAAAAAAAAAAAAAAAGTACTCAGATGTGCATTTCAGAAACACCACCGTTTGTGTTTTAGAGTTAAAGACATTGGAATGAGATAAGAAATAAGTGCTGCCTGTTCCTCATGGTAAGACTCAGGAGTATGTGTTTATATGACGTTCAGACATTATCGCTCTTTTTAAACAGAAATGTGGATTTTCAGAACTCTATTCATGGCAGAGAGAAAGGAAAGTAAAGACAGAATTTTGTCTTCATGATGGACCTCCTTATGCTAATGGTGATCCTCACGTTGGACATGCTTTGAATAAGGTAATCATACTCAGGTCTGTAAGACTTGGGGTAAATATTTAAATACACTTTACAAAAGAGTACTAGAATAGTATGACAATGATGTACATTTGCATTGACACATAAAATGAACGTCTTAACAGAAAGCAGCAGTCAACCATTTCGGTCCTGCGTGAAGAATAACATCCCTGGTATTTGCTTTGAGCTTGTTATTTTATGTTGGTAAATTTCATTTTAGTCAGTAAGTCATTATTGAGCACTTCCTATGTGCCAGGCGTTGTTCTAGGCTGGAAATAATCAGTGAACAAAATAAAGATAGGCCTTGTCCTTTGGAGCTTATGCTTTAGTCAGGGAAGACATCATCAGTCAGATAAATAAAGTATGTTAGAGCTGCTATAGACTGCACATTGGCTTCTTCTTCCAAATTCATATGTTGAAACCTACTCCCTACTGGGGTGGTATTTGGCAATCAAGGTTTTGGCTTCTTTTGCTGTAGATTTTTTTTACCTATTTGAAAATTTCAGAGAGGCGGAATAAAAGCATATACTAGTATGTTTCTATGTCTGGTTTCTATCAACCACGGATGGAGTATTTCTGAAATTCATTCATGTTGTTTTAGATGTCAGTAATCGCTTCTTTTTTTCGTGGCTGAGTAGCATTCTATTGAGAGAATATACCACAGTTTGTTCATCAGTTTTTTTGTGGTTTTTTTTTTGAGTTCTTTATTTTCACGTATACTTCCATGGGAAACTGGGAGAGGGTGTGGCCTTGGACATCTGTCTCTGCTTTCAAAACCAGGAATCTGGTCACCAAACAGGTCCATACTGCTTAGAGCAGTATTGCATTATAATATGGATTGTACATATTGTATTAGAAAATTGTATTGAAAACTTTTAGCATTTGAGATATGTTATACATATTGCACATTCCACAGAGAACAAACTCTGTTGCTTAATAGCTCATTTTTGAATTATTGCACATTTTACAACAGCCAGCCAAAAAGAAAAGCATAACTTCAAATATCTGTTACTCTTGTTATTATGTAGAACTTGAATTGGGAGATTTAATAGGTTACTTTATATAAATCCCTTTAAAATTGGGCTTTCTCAGTGTTTTAAAATATTAAGAAAATAAGGTAAACTGTTGGATACATGCTTCATGTATGAGTGATGATTAGTATTTTCTTTGCAGATTTTGAAAGATATAGCCAATCGATACCATATGATGAGGGGTTCCAAAATCCACTTTGTGCCGGGCTGGGATTGTCATGGGTTACCCATTGAAGTAAAAGTCTTATCAGAACTTGGCGGGAAAGCTCGGGATCTGTCAGCGATGGAAATTAGAGAGAAAGGTAAGTAACCTCTCTTTCTGTTTTGAAATGGTATTTGTAAACACTGGTTCTTTGGAAAAGTCTGGGCCTGATCAGAGAGACCTGTTTATTTTGTTTTTGTTTGTAGTTAGAATGAGATCTGTTGGAAACCACTTTGTCACAGAAAATTCAGATTTTTTAAAAATTGACCTTTGTGGGAACTTATGTTCAGAGATTGAAGGAAAGATTTGTAAGCATTTCAAAGTACATCGTTTAGTTCTTTAGTCTTCGTGTGAGTGTGTGCGTGTGCGCGCGCGTGTGTGTGTGTATATGTATATATATAATTTATTTATTTATTTATTTAGTTAATCCTCACCCAAGGATATTTTTCCCTTGATTTTTAGAGAGAATGGAAGGGAGGGGGAGACACACAGAGAGAAACATCGATGTGAGAGAAAGGCATTGATTGGTTGCCTCCTGTCCGCCCCCTACCAGAGCCGGGGATCGAGCCGGCAACCGAGGTACATGCCTGACCACAATCGAACCTGGGACCCTTTAGTCAGACTGTCGACGCTCTATCCACTGAGCCAAACTGGCCAGGCCTAGTCTTCATATTTTGAGATTATTATTTTGACCAGTGTTTTTATTTCTTTTCCTCGCTAGGGCTGTTGACCTATTTCAGGTGATAAAACAAAAGTAAATTCTGAAATACAAATATATTTTAAAATAATCTCTTATTTGATTCTTCAGTAGATTGGGTCGGGAAGGAATCTTGTATTTGTTTATGTTAAGCTATTGTATATTTGGATATGATTGTGAAGATTATTTACTTCCTTGTGAAATTTATTATCATCGACTCGATGTACTGATTAATTTCTTTTGTATAATGAAATATATCCTCTGATCTTTTCTTAAATTCAGAAATTTGAGGAATTCTTCCAGTGCATTGTTTTCTAAATGTGAGGTCATTGTACAAAGTCTAGAAAATACAGAAGATGGTAACAAAATTTTAACTTTTGAAATTCTAGTTAATTTTAGAGTTTGAACACCTTTAACTTTCAAAATAACTTTGCCTATTAAGTAAACTTTATCATCTAAACTGTGTACAATACCTGCATTTAGAGAGATACACGGCTGAGCCATTTTTAAGAATGTGAATTTACGGGTTTGTCAAAGCTTTTTCTTGTCTGTGTTTTGTTCAGCTAGGTCATTTGCTAAAGCAGCAATTGAGAAACAGAGGTCTGCATTTATTCGTTGGGGAATTATGGCAGATTGGGACAATGGCTACTATACGTTTGACGGCAGTTACGAGGCCAAACAGTTGAGAATTTTCTACCAAATGTATGACAAGGTACCGAAGTACTTTTTTACTTTTTTCCTCCGGGAGTGTTAGATTGTTACAGAATCCCAGCTTTTCATAGACCGTCTTTGTCTTTTCTAGGGCCTGATTTACCGGTCTTATAAGCCTGTGTTTTGGTCTCCCTCATCGAGGTATTTGTGTGTTTTTGCTCATTAAAGGAGACATTTTGTGAGGCCGCCAGATCCTTATGTCTAATATGTTTCCACCTCAGGACCGCCTTGGCTGAAGCGGAACTGGAGTATAACCCCCAGCATGTCAGTCGCTCTGTGTATGTAAAATTCCCTCTCTCGAAACCTGCCCCCAAGTTGGCATCTCTCATAGGTGCGATTTATTCATATTTACTCATTGCTTGAGTTTATGACAGTTGTGGGATGGGAACATTTGCTAACATATTTGAAATTCTGTTCCCACAGATGGTTCCTCTCCTGTTAGTATTTTAGTCTGGACCACACAGCCTTGGACAATTCCAGCCAATCAGGCTGTTTGTTATATGCCAGATGCAAAGTAGGTAGAGCATTGCATTTTTTGTTTGTTTTTTTTTAATCCACAAATAGGATCAGTTCTATCAGTAGCATTATTTTGAACTTATTTCATCCTCATTATTCTCTTAAAAGTTAATGTGTTATAACTTAACCGTGTTCATATAGGCTTTAAGATTTTATTTCCAGCGTTTTTTGGAAAACAAAACATGTAAGGGATGAAGTCCTTTGAAAATAGTACTTTTGGGATCTTGAAGGTAGTTTTTCTAAAATGGCACTAACAGATTTTAAATGTTATCCGTGGCTTTTTTTCCGTCATTGTTAGTAACGTTACCCTAAACTTTTATTTGAGGTACGCCGTTGTGAAGTGTTCCACATCTGGAGAGCTGTACGTACTGGCTGCAGACAAAGTGACGTTTGTTGCTTCTGCTTTGAAAACAACATTTGAGGTTATTTCAACATTTTCAGGTGAAGATTTGTAGATATTCTCACTATCACAGTCATCAAACTATTGGGTGGATTGAGGTACTTTGCTGAACGCTGCTCATTCTGAATCAAAACAGACGTGGCTTCTGCCTTTCCAGAAGATACGTTACAGTGATTCCCCTGAAGGAGACTATATATTAAACATGATAGGGGTATAGAAAAATGTGAACATTGACAAAGGCACAACAGACAAAATATTTCTGCCAAATATCCAATGTAAAATTGGACAAGTGTCCTTTCTGTGAGGTAGAATGTACAAAGATCTTTTCAACTTTTTATCCAAAATTAAATTGCTAAAAAGCATTTTTATCTGATGTAATCAAAAGAACACGGAAGGAAGTAAATATATTTATTTTTGGTACATGATTTTACTAAGGAAATTGAGTAAATTCTGAAAATTAGTCCAAAAACAGTGCTTCAATCAAAACAATCTTTAGTGGGCTTCCATTTGGGACTGGTTTTGAGATATAACTGTGGAATCAGGGAGGTTTGAAAATTACCTTTGGTTGGGCTGGTGTGGCTCAGTGATTGAGTGTTGACTTGTGAACCAGGAGGTGACGGTTCAGTTCCAGGTCATGGCACCTGCCCGGGTTGTGCCTCCATCCTCAGTAGGGGCTGTGTGGGAGGCAGCTGATCAATGATTCTCTCTCATCCATTGATGTTTCTCTCTCTCCTTCTCCCTTCCTCTCTCTGAAATCATTAAAAATAAATAAACAGAATTACCTTTGATCCTTAGGGATGATATATTTTTGAGTTTCTTACAAAAAAATGTTTTTTAAATGAATGAGATAACCCAAAATGGGAAGATTGCCTAACTAATAGTGAAGCCCTCCATCTAAATGCCTAGGTTCAGATACAAGCCAATTAGAAGTTTATACAGTCTTAGCAAAAATAAAAAGGATTTTTTAAAAAAAAATACTTTTATTGATTTTTTACAGAAGGAAGGGAGAGGGATAGAGAGTTAGAAACATCGATGAGAGAGAAACATCGATAAGCTGCCTCCTGCACACCCCCTACTGGGGATGTGCCCGTAACCAAGATACATGCCCTTGACCAGAATCGAACCTGGGACCCTTC